TATGAAAGAAGGAACGATTGGGTCTTTTTTTCCTCTCGTGCACTATCTAAAAATAGAAATGAAAATAGGTTGCCACGTATTAAGAAGTTCACCAAGTGAACTAATTTTGGCGCAAACTGAATAAAAAATGCCAACATAAATTGTTAAATTTCTCCATAAATTTCACAACAAATTTTAGAAAATTTAATTTTTAGGCATAATTTGAGTCGTAGAATCCAAATATGGAACAAAATTGGTATGTTATTTCAGGAAAAGTCTGATTTCGTGTCAAAATAACTATGTTAGAGTAGAAGTATATATAAATCTAATATATATCCTAAGTCGCGCTTTCGAGACATGAAGAACGCAATTTGAATTATGTCCATCGGCCCAGTAGAACGGGAGTTAAAGAACGGTACCCGTACCCCCCCCTTTTTTTTTTTTTTTTTTTTTTTTTTTTTTTTTTTTTTGAGCAGCGTACTTAAGGAAAACGCATGTTCAAAAAAGAACTTTTAGTAACAAAAGAAAATTTGACACTCAGAGCTGCTGATAAAAGTGACATGTTGCATACTGTTACTAGGTCTTCCATAATAAGTATCATAATCAAGTTCCTTCAATGAGAGTAAGTTTTCATCTTAATTAGAAACTCTAACTTGCCTGTTAGAAGTAACCCTCTGACTGCTTGCCCCATGATTTCCATGGGCAATATAGGTGTATCAAAATTTGCTCATCTTAAGATACCTGTGGGCATGCGTTTGTTACCTGTATTAAAAGTGTATTGTGCTGTTTCGATGTTTAACCATCAGTAATGCATTTTTTGCTGTATTTAGACTTTAAATCATGTTTTGCTCAACATGTAGTTGTCCACTAAATTTCATATATTTGCATAAACATCACAAATCAATATACAGATTTCAAATATAAAATAAAAACATACTCAGTTTGTGAAGCAATTTTGGTAAAAAAACTGAGAAACTAGAGGGTTAAAAGCTAATGAAATGAAAGCTGTAAGCTAGTTAATAGAGGAATTAATGACATTTTTCATGAGATATTAAAAAGTGTATTCACCTGTCTGTATTAAAAGTATTGTTGCGAAATGTACAGGAGCGGTGAGATGGTTTCCCGACGAAGCAGTTTTAGGGTTGCCATAAAATGGCAAGTGAAAGCAGGGTTGCCATATTTGGCAAGAAATTGCCCATCTGACGACATTTGGCGGCAGACCATGGAGGGTTGGAGAACCTTCTGGAACGAATTCTTACCGGTTTAACCCAGAATGTTCTCGAACACAAGCCGAAAGCTATATAAACCCTGCTGGTTCACAGTCAGTCAGTGTGTTTCAGAGAGTGTCCCTCGTCTAGCGAGCCTTTGACAGCCAAGCAGCGAGTGCCGAGTGGGTCGTCGAGTGCACCGAAAGAGTCTCATAGTGTATCATGGTTAGTGTATCGTCTAGAGAGCATGTTGAGCTCCGGGAATGATTGAACCGAAGAGTCGGGAGCTGTGCTCGTGTGTCGTCGAGTGCATCACGAGTTGTAGCGTGGAGAGTCTCGAGAGTACGTGGAGTTCCGAGAACGACCAAGCAGAGTCGGTAGCTGTACTCCGGAAAGCAGAGCGGGTGCTTTGCAGGAAGCTGTCTCCACCGTGATAACCTGATAACCTGAAGGCTGTGTCACTGATTGTTCCGGTGTCTTTATAGTAGATCTTGGACGACTGTAAAAAGTGACTTTGGAGCTGTCCTAGGATACCTGTGGGCATGCGTTTGTTACCTGTATTAAAAGTGTATTGTGCTGTTTCGATGTTTAACCATAAGTAATGCATTTTATGCTGTATTTAGAATATTGGCTAAATAAAGTGTGTTTCGATACTTCATCAAGTGTCGTCGTTATTCACCCCAAATCTACGAACCCCGTACGAACGTGTAGGAAGAAAATAACGTAACAATTGGTGTCAGAAAAGAAAAGAATAATGTAACAAGTGGGATTTGAGGGTGAATGCCAGTGACAAGACCAATGGAAGATCTGCGAAGACAGCTCGTGACTGCCTTTGCTGAATTCCAAGAAAAGATGGAAGCCAGATAGGAGAAGTTGAAAGCCAGATATACTGAGATAAAAGCTGGATATAAAGAGATGACAGCCAAGATCAAAGCCGGACTAGAAGAGAAGAAAGGCCGATGAGTAGAGATAAATGGCGGCCAAGAAAATGTGCGAGAGCAACTCCAACAGCTGAAAGTGGAGCTTACAGAAGAAACTGGAGGCATAAAAGTCAATGTGGAAATGAGAGAAGTGGCATCTGAAGGATCAAAGAATGAAGAAAAGAAGGAAGTAGCTAATGAATTGTCTGAGAAAGATCAAGAAATTAAGGAGGAAACATCTAACGGGATTAAAGAAAAAGAACTAAAACATGAAGAAATAAAAAACAGGAAAGAAGCTTTTGATTCTCAAGTGCCTGAAGTGGAAGAAAATGAAAATGCGACTGTTAAGTTCGTCAAAACTGATAGTGAAGTTACGAAGCCGCAATTAGCAAGTATTGAAACATCTGAAAGTTCATGTGATGCTTAGATGGAGAAGCTGATATACAACTTACGCAGAGTTCTCCGGTATTGCGAGAAAATTCACTCATTTCGCAAACTATGTGTGCATCTCATAGTGCAGATTTTGCATACAAGGACTTGATTCTAAACCTGGATACTTCTGCTTGTAAAGGATCAGATTCTATTCGCGAGCCTGGTGCAAATATCGGAGCTGGTTTCCAGGAAACGCTGGAAAATAAGAGTGTACCATCTGCTAAAGATATCGAGGTGAACTATACGCATGCTGCGAATGATCTACAGAGTGGTGAACGAACTGTTTTAGATCTTCCAGTGGATGAAAAGTCTGAAAGGACTGAATTTTCAGACTGTGACATGAAAAACAAATGCATCTGAGAACTGCAGTAGAAAAGTATATGACCCGGGTATAAATAATAAAAAGACAGAGACTGAAATTAGACTTTAATTTGATATTAGATTTTAGATTTAATTAGAGATTAGATTTAATTTTAGATTTCAATTTGTATAATTTAAAATTGTTATGCGTTTAATTTGTGTATATGACTTGTACATACTGTAAATATCTGTTTCTGTAGTTATGTTATTTATTTATATCTTATGTTTGTTTCATTATGTTTTGTTTGTATTGAATTTGGCTTCTGACCAAGGGTTGTACTGCCCGGGACGTGCAGTCCTTGGGAGGGGGCAGTGTTATGAAATGTACAGGAGCGGTGAGATGGCTTCCCCACAAAGCAGTTTTAGGGTTGCCATAAACTGGTAAGGGGAGGCATAGTTGCCATATTTGGCGACAAAATTAACGATATACCATGAACTGTTGAGAACCTTCTGGAACGAATTCTTGCCGATTTAGCCAGAATGTTCTCGAACTCAAGCCGAAAGCTATATAAACCCTGCTGGTCCGCAGTCGGTCAGTGTGTCTCAGAGAGTGTGCCTCGTCTAGTGAGCCGTGCAGAGTCGGTCGAGTTGACAGTCAAGCAAAGCAGCGAGTGCCGAGTGGGTCGTCGAGTGCACCGAAAGAGTCTTGTAGTGTATCACGGTTAGTGCATTGTCAAGAGAGCATGTTGAGCTCCGGGAACGACTGAACCGAAGAGTCGGGAGTTGTGCTCGTGTGTTGTCGAGTGCATTGCGAGTTGTAGCGTGGAGAGTTTTGAGAGTACGTGGAGTTTCGAGAACGACCAAGCAGAGTCGGGAGCTGTACTCCGGAAAGCAGAGTCGGGTGTGTATCACGGTTAGTGCATCATCGAGAGAGCATGTTGAGCTCCGGGAACGACTGAACCGAAGAGTCGGGAGCTGTGCTCGTGTGTCGTCGAGTGCATTGTGAGTTGTAGCGTGGAGAGTTTCGAGAGTACGTGGAGTTTCTAGAAGGACCAAGCAGAGTCGGGTGCTTTGCAGGAAGCTGTCTCCACCGTGATAACCTAATAACCTGAAGGCTGTGTTGCTGATTGTTCCAACGTCTTTATAGTAGATCTTGGGCGACTGTAAAAAGTGACTTTGGAGCTGTCCTGATTAATATTGGCTAAATAAAGTGTGTTTGGATACTTCATCAAGTGTCGTTGTTATTCACTCCAAATCTATGAGCCCCGTATGAACGTGTAGGAAGAAAATAACGTAACAATTGGTGTCAGAAAAGAAAAGAATAACGTAACAGTATATTCAGCTCAGATATTAAAAAGTATATTGACCTATCTGTATTAAAAGTATATTCACCTGAGATATTAAAAAGTATATTCACCTGATCTGTAGTATTTGGTGAACAGATCAAAGATGTGTTGTAAATTGTGAATGTTTGTGAAAATGTAGCAAAATTTTTTTTTTTTAAGTTTTGCTGTAAACTTTCAAATTGATATTTAGATATGTTCGAATAAAATAATTTATGATTTGAAGGAATCCTGTGACATTATACAAATGTCAAAACTGATTAGTTTTTAAGTTTTTTTGTAAATAGAGAAGTGATGGTGATTAGAACTAAAAATACAAATACAAATACAAGTAACAAATACAAGTAATATTTAGAATGCAGTCTCATCCATTTGTATAGTTTGATATTGAAATACTTTCTTTAACTTGTCTGACAAGTTATAAATGATCTGAAGAGCAAGCACTTTTGTGTCTTGACTTTTATCATTTCTTGATAAAAGTCAAGACACAAAAGTGCTTGTTCTTTTATCAGTAACCTTTATCCAAAAGCCATTGAATATAAATTTGATTGATGATCTTCGTTCAGACTCATGGCAATATGAAAAAGAAGTCCTGGAGAACAAAGTGCAGTAGACTCATGTTTTTAATTATTGCTTTGGTCCAGAGAAGTTATTTTTAATGAAATTCCCTTCTCCCATACCTTTTTGCAGTCTGTACGAGTTTGTGAAACCTAAAATCCACAGTATTTGCATTTTTTTTTTTTTTTAAATTTCCATTTAGCATTTCATGTTTTGTTTTTCTCTTACAATTAACAGCTTTACTGTGATTTTATTTTTAGGATATTTTCATGCAAGCTTTGGAAGATAATTTGAAAAGTGTATCTGAATTACCTTACTTTGATGGAGATTATTGGCCTGATGTTTTGGAACATAGTATTAAGGAACTTGCCAATGAAGAGAGGAAAGCAAAAGCATCTGCAGTTGCATCATCAAAATTGAATATCGAACAAGAAGATGACATGCAGGTAAGATCGGCTTTGTCATTAATTTTGTGCCTGTAAGTAATCTTCCAGCTGCTAGAAATGTATAAAAATGTTATTTTGAATTTCCTGCTTCCATTAGGAAATGTAAGACCTAATGGACCTATATTAAAATATACTTCATAAATAAATGAATAGTAAAATATACATCAAAATTTTTTTATAACTTTTGCCACTTATAATAAGAAGTTTAGTTGGTTTTTAACAAGGAAATACAGTAGAAAATTTTACCTCTTTTCCTTCTTCCCCCTTCCTCTTTCTGATTTGTGTTTTCTGCATTTGTGCTTCCTACTGATTGATCACTAATAACTTCCAAATTTTGACAGAATTATCGCTGACTTTTTTACGTATTCAGATTCTAACACTGCAAATGGGAAATTCGCATGGATTAAAGTCAAATCGTGATTTGAAGAGAATAAAGTTGGATGTAGTAATGAGATATTTTTCAGGCTTTTGCTGGAAAAATGTAACTTCTTGAACTTCTCTTTTTGAATTTTCTGGAAAGCTATGTGGTTCTTTCTTCTTCTTCTTCTTCTCTCTCTCTCTCTCTCTCTTTTTTTTTTTTTTTTTTTAAATATATCTTTACATACATCTTTTGAAATGAGAGTTTTTTTGTTAGTTGTGAGAGAACTTCCAGTAAACCAAATTAGCATTGGAATTAATGTGTTTGCAAGGAATAAAATAAAATCAAGTTTGGGTTCCAACAGAACAAAGTTACTTATAGTAATAAGGTATTTTTCATATTGATTGGAAGAATATAATTTCTTGTAACATTTCTTCTTGAGGTTACTAAAAAGCTATATAATTCTTTCCAGCAACTTTGTTTTTTTAATTAATATTTTGCAAAAGAAATTAGTTGTGAAGCATTTTTGCAGTTAGTAGATTCATCCAATTGCAGATTGACTTCCATTTGATATATCTATTGCTTTTCCTTTTTGTCAAACATAATATCTACTATATCCTGGGCTGCTGGAACAATTAACGGTTCAGCAGTCATGGACGGCTTGCCAGTTTTAGCAATATAATAGTTCACTTGAGAAGAAGTCTCCAATGCTTTTTTATTAATATTAGTGAAAGCCTACATGAAGTTCAGCTTATATTTCAAATACTGTGTTTTTTTCTGAAAATCTTCAATGCTTTTATCTTTGGATTCTCTGTGTTTGATGCATAGGTGCCTCTGCAGTTTATTTGGTTTCCGTGACTTGTTTGACAGTACTACCCGCATAGAACGCATCTAGTCTTTGGTTCATATCTTCAATACAGAGTTCATATAGTCCTTAAAAGTTCTTAATTCTAGGTATTTTGGAAATGATTTTTAGCCCTTAAAAGACCTTAATTTTTATCAAAACCAACAAAGCTCCTTTATTTTACTCATCTGACATTCCTACCTATTTTTTATGACTGCCATTTTGAATGTGAATTAACAGTTTGGAGGAATATTTTTTGATGATATATTGACAAATATGTATTTGATGGTTTAAAATGTTTAATTCTTTCCTACTTATTCACAAATCAAACAACTTTCCTACTTCTTAATGTAAATGTTAGATACTCAGGTTTTAGGGACAAGGCCCTACCTCGATTAAAATATAAACATTTTGAAAGAATTTCTTTTTTGCAAATGAAGAGTTCATTTGCAAAATTTTGGCGATTCTTTTTAAACATTTTATTCATCTTGCTTTGATAAATATCATAATAACATTGATGAATATCATAACAATAATGATAATTTATTAAAATTATATTTAAGAAATAACATTAAAATGAAGCATTTTTATTTTCTCCTGCCATAATTTAAAGTGACATTTTCCATTTTATTGATTTAGGAATATTTAGATTCTGGAACATTAACAAGATATTAAATGCCATAAAGTACAGTTTCCGAAACACCTCTTAGAAAAAACAAAAATGCTACTATAATTATTTAAAAATTAATTTCATTTGTCTTTTTTTATATTTTTTTATGGTAAGAGTTTTTTCCCCATGTAATTTTTTCAGAATATATTAGTATTAGTTTTCTCCTGAAAATTCACTTTATACTTCTCTTTTCTGAAATTTTTTCTTTAAAAATCTTCTGGCCTTTTGTTTTTCCAGAGTTGGGAGGCATAATTTTTATTTGGATTTTAGACCTTGCACCTTGGAAGGTCTTTAAAGGCAAGATTTATATATTATTATTTTTAAGGCAAAGTCTATAGACCTACAATTTCCAGAAAAGTGTGATGAAATGATGTTTATCAATTTATTTAAGTGTCATCATGTTTATTAACTTGCAATGGGTGTGTTTTTTAGGAAATTCATGACGAATTTCTTATCCTTTCGAGAATTTTTGGAAGAACAGTGAAAAAAATTATTTGAATTTTCTGCTTTTGACCCCAGAAGTCTTTATCTTAACATGTTTATGTTCCCTTTATTTTATTATCTTCCCACTAGACACAAGCATTGAAGCAATTAAAGAAAGCAAAGTAATCAAAAACTGGCAATTTGGTAAAAGATTATCGTATATATCTCAACGCACTATACATACCTTAATGACTGTCCTAAATTTTGTTGCTCAGCACTTCATTAAATTCTCAAAATTCTGTCATATTAGTTCTAGTGCCGGCCTTGACCTTATAGTATTTCATATTTATTCTCAATTCTCACGTTTTTAAAGAAATAAAATTAACAGCTTCTTCTATACATTCTAAGTACAAGCAGTTCTTTAGAGTAACAGAAATGTTGTTCTTTAGAGTAACAGAAATGTTTAATTAAATCTGAATTTTCTAATGATGAAATCTGAAATTTCTAATAATTCTTTCTAATAATTCTTAAAATGAAGGGGGAATTCATTGAAAAGAAATTGAAGAGAAGACAGAAAGATATTTTTCAAAGGTACATTGATGAAATGTGAACAATTAGGAGTTGAGACGAGACTAGTGGAAACATTGATTTGTTTATTAAAACAATAAACCTAGAAAAGATGCTTAAGAGGAGGAAATTGATGAAAATTAGCTAAAATGTCTGGAAAATTTTCAAGTTTATACCTTTTAATGTATAGTTATACTAATATCATTTTTAAATTAGTATCATAAATTACAACTGCTGTAAAGTCTTCTTAGTGCTTTTTTAATGGATATTTTTTTAGAAATAAAAAAAATATAACCATGCAACTGCTGTAAAGTCTTCTTAGTGCTTTTTTAATGGATATTTTTTAGAAATTAAAAATATATATATATATATATAACCATGTAAATCGATTATGACAAAGGATATCTAACTACATAATTTAATTATTTGTAACTAATTGCTTGTCGTAGAAGTTAGTACATGTTAAGGTGAGTTATCACCTTTCTTTAATTCTTATTGTGTATGCAAGACATGGCACAAAAATGTAAAAATTAACATAAAACTTTATTCCTTACTGCTAATGTGATTTAAAATAATACAAAACAGCCTATCATCTCTGGTGCTTCAGGGGCTTTTTGGAACTTAATAATAAATACTGGGTATTATCTGGGTTACAACTCCAAGATATCTACATGAAACAACACCACTATCTGGGTCAGACAAAGTGCAACACTTACCAACCATGCCAACAACAGGCATTGAAATCTGTTCTGATTAGTGGCTCTCTGTCTGTAAGCAAGCAACTGCAGTTGCAACAGCCAGACTTCTGTTATTAGTCATGCTGATTATTATTTTACTTCAACATTTAACTTAATGCCACTTGACATAAAAGTTGCATATACCTCTAGACTTTGTGAGTATGTGGCAAAATGAAAGTCCTTTATTAAGGGAAAATAGAGTCCTGTATTATGTCCTTATGTAGAGATGTCATGGAAAAGCATCGTTAAATTGCGTTCGATAGCATTCAAAATGGATATTTTCATTGAAATATGACACACAGAACTTTTTGTGATTACAATACTATCTTACTTCGTACAACAAAGTAAAAAAAAGGGTTTAAAGAAATTACATTAGGAGAAAAATCAATTTGCGGCATTCTTAGTTTTTCAAGAGTATTATATTATGCTTTCCTAGGCTGTGTAGGGGGAAAAAAAATGTTTTATATGAGGTCCAGATAATAGATCATTCCAATTATTGGATTTATAAATTTTGGTCTTTGTATTATATGCAGTTTTAAAATTTTATATATTATTAATATACATACACTATTATTTATTAATATACATACACTAATTTTATTAATATACTCAGTCAGCTGGGAAATCTTAGAAAGTCATGGGAAATCAGGAAAATAGCATTAAATAATATATTAATTATATAATGTAATTAATAAAATATAGCATTTTTACAGAAAATCAGAACGTTTTTCAAAAAGTCAGGAAGGTGACATAATAATCAGCCCTTTCAGACAACAAGTAGGTCATGTTTTGAATAATATGCAGTAAACAAAATGCCTTTTAAAAAGCAAATGGATAAAATGTTGTCATTAATCTTTTTCTTGCAAAAAGTATTTTACGTACCGAATTTCTGAAATGAATTTTAATCAGACCTTCTCTTCCCCTGTTAATGAGCTGTTTTATGATGTTTACTACGCTGAATGATTTTAAATTTTATTAACACTATAAATTTTTTTTTTTTTTTTTTTTCTTCTTTTTCTTTCTTTCTTTCTTTCTTTTTTTTTTTTTTTTTTTTTTTTTTTAATCCAGTGTATTTCTAAGTTCCTCTATTTTGCAAAGATCATTCAGATAGTATTATCACACAGTCTACTGTAACATGGTAATAACCAGCACTAGAAAAAAGAAATTTTGTAGATAGAAGCATTCTTACTTTGGAAGTGTCAATCAGTGTATGGTTCTTTTGCTTTACTGCATTGCAGCCAATTCTTTACATAACATGAATGCATGCCCATTCCATTGACTGTCTTTTACTCACAGAATCAAAATGAATCAGCACACATGATGACTAAAAGTATTCTGGACAATCCCAAGCGTAACACTGCATTTCATTATTTGCATGATCATTTACTTTCTTTTTGATTTGCATAATTTCCCTGTTTCTGTATCATGGTGATTCATCTGTCATTTTGAATGACTTCCTCAATGGCTGTTGCATTTTCATCAGTTGTGCAGTAGGCTACCTATCTGACTGAGCCTGGTCCTGGATGTTCCAATCACTAGCCACTGATATACATTAGTTTGATTTATTGCATTGTCCCACAGACTTACTACAGCTTACTGTGAGTCAGTGTTGCCGAGTAGTCTTCATATTTGCAAAGAATATGGACATTACTTGGTTTTCATGGTCTTCATTATCAGTGCAGCACCAAGATTATTACCAAGTTTAAACTGCTCGCATATAGTTTATGGCTGCTATATCTCTGCAATAGCTTTTAATATGGCATCAAAAGGCTTTTCTTTTCCAAAGGATTTTCGCCGTATGAATTCTGAAAGATACAACTCTAGATGATGTCGAGCTGTGTACCCTTATGCTTTTTATTTCACCATTTAACTAGTCTCTATAAGCTTTCCACATACTGAAAGTGAGCATTCTTGTTAGATTAACAAAGTTAAATTTGTGATTCACAGTTAAATGGCCATAACCAGCCCTTTCAAGCTCATCTGTTTTATAGGCTTGGCAATAATTTAAATATATTGTTAAACCGTCCACTACATGGTCTATAGTTGTTGATATCAATGTGCTTTCTTCCTGATCTGAAACCTGAACAAGAAAGCACTCACCACTTTCACAGCATAACCTACTAAATATCCACTGTTCTGGAAATACTCTGCTAGTATTTTTTTTTTTTTTTTTTTTTTTTTTTTTTTTGCTGCACTGACAAAACTTTCATCAATTTCAATTATCTTTCCAGGCCCACCTATTTGTCCTTTAGATTGTCAAAGTAAATCTAGCGAACAAGCCTCTTTCATAAAATTGTTCCAGTCAATTACGGTATTCTGACACATGTTGAGCTGTTCATTGTACTGCTTGAATGACATTAATTCCTCTGCCAAACAGCAGATGAAATGTAGCGCTGTTAGGAATGGTATTCAGTGACCTCTAAACAAGTTATCGGATCGAATACTTTTTTTTGTTTGTTTGTTTACAACTTTTCACATTGTACTTCCATATACAAATCATAATATATAATTCATATATAATTTCATTCTGTGGCCATTTACACATATTCGATTGTGAGGTAATATATATTTCCCCTGGAAAAACTATATTTCATCTTCCTCACTCCTTGGTAAATTGAAAATTGAGTACTTAAATTGGAAAAAGATTACTGCAATATTATCAAATTCAGTAAAAGTGTAAAGTGAAAGTACCATTTTTTACATAAATGTTTAAATTGAAAAACGACAATATGATATTACACGATTCATCAAATTCAGCAAATATGATGAACTGAAGAGGCTATTATGATATCACACAATTTATATAATTGTGCTGTTTGTCACGGGGGTTGTGAAAGTCAAGTAGTATCGGAATTCAATCAATGCACATTGGCATAGTAGGGTTCCACACTGGCCATCTATGGTGGCTTACTTGCAGAAACAAAGAATAAAAATTATGTATAGGTTAATTGCTGAAAGGCAAATGATTTTACGTACAAAAATTTCATTTATTTAGTGTTTACCATTACCAAGCTACAGAAGATTGTGGGATACATTTTAATCGAGAATCGTAAAAGAGTATGGTAACAAAAGTTTATTGCTACTAATGCACTTTTAACTTTTGCAGAAAAAACAGTCCTTCCTTCTCTCTAGTGTTTAATATTTTGTTTTAGAAACTTATGTTTTTGAACAATTTTGTTATATATTTCGTATAAATAAATATATTTCTTTCATTTTTCTTGACCTTAATAAGTAAGAGAAATTTTCATAATATCCGTAACTATTGTATTAAATTTTGTAGTAAAAATATATTATTCATTTATTCACGCTGAATTTAATAACCAGTTCATCATGTTTGGTCAGAAAAATTATTCCATTTGCTCATGGGAAAGCAGAAAATGTCAGAAAAATTAAAAGATAATTTCAGTGGGAAACTGTGTAGCATTTTGTTGTAAATGCAAAATAAAAATATGGTATCTTTAATAATTTTAATGTATAATTTTCTCTAGCCTCAAAAGAAGAAACGCAAAAGTGATTGCAGTAAAATGTTAAATAAAAGTAAATGTAGTCACAGAAAAAGCAACAAATTTAATGTTATGTTCCCTAGCAACGATTTGTCAGCAAAATTGTATTCTACCATGGAAAAGTTCAGAAAGGTATGGAATTGCTTCTTTTGTTAACGTTAATAGAAATAAGTAATATTTCATTTTCATGTTGTAACTGCCAAAATTTAGGTTATGAAATTTTCATTCCTTATATGTCAGCCATACTCACATAAAATTGTGGCACTCCTGCTTTTCTTCATACTTTATGCTGCTTAAGCTATATGTATTCTTTGGTGTATATGAATTTCAGGATTGTAGGTCATGTTAAAATAATTAGAAATTAAATTTCTGTGATTAAACTAATACACTGAGTTAAAAATTCAGCAGCATAGTTCTGTACATAGTTCTTAATTTATCCTTGTATGAACGTTGCGGCGCGCAATGAACTGGAAGTTGATCTGTCAGCACTATCCTTATCTTCAGGGCAGATGTTTATTATTATTTTTTTTTTTTTGGCTTATAATTCCTTACTAAATGTAGTATTTCATCTTGATGTACTCCGTCTTTGATATGATTTAAATCAAATTCCTCGTCAATATAAATATCACGAATACACATCAAATAGTTTTCTGGTTGCAATTTTCTAATTTCGACTATGCGTAATGTATGCTTTACACATGCGCACATTGAAAGAAATGTTTAATAAAGTAAACAAATAAATATTAAGCTTTTTTTTTCGGTAAATTTTGATACCCTTTAGATCATAATTGCTCTATTTATAAATTACGGTTTCATATTTTTAATTTTATAATTTCTGCATGCCATCTTACCAGATTTAAACTGATGATCTATAATCCAGAAACCGGATTAAAGACTTTTGACTGTATACACCAGGGATGGCCAAACTTCATAACATTATAAGCCATATGTTAGAATTCAGAAATGTTTGAGCCACAAGGCTGTATTGCTTCACTATATTTACAGAATTGATGGTGTTGCACTGATGTCTTTGTTCATCTTTATATATACTTGTTATTTATATAACTTTAAAAGTAATAAAACAGGATTTTAAGAATCTTGAAGCAAATTAGTGAGAATTTTACTTTTTTTATGTTATTATTATGGTTTCCTATATATAAATGATTTTTATTTCACCCATTTAGACCCTCTTAAAAAAAAAAAAAAAAAAAAAAGGGCGGGGGGCATTTTTTACCGATTTTATTTTCTATCATCCTATACTGTTGCCTGATTTCAGGCACTTACATAAATGCTTTAACCAATCATGATAAATGAAAACTGAAACTCCCTTTGGGAACCCTAACCTATTTCCTTCTTTCCTAATTATTAATAAGTGCTTCCACTTGCTATCTAATTGCAGCTTGAGATATGTTGGTATATGATCTCTGAAAAATCCATTACAGGTTTATCACATGTAATATCAGGAAAGGCTGATAGAGGCAGTCTCAACATTTTTTAATTAGCCCTTTTATGTAAAAGTAAATTGGCAAAATCTTCACAAGGAAAAATTTTTATCATTCTCGGTTATTGTTTAAATAATTTTGCCTTGCGACACTTAATCCGTAAGACTTAGTATTTAAGAAGTTAGATTATTGATAATTTTTTAATAGTGTTAATTTTGCATGATTTTTTTATTTAATTAAGATATTTTATTTTACTTGAAATAGGCCTTTTATGTTATCCATTTACATTCTGCTGAAACGGCTGAAAAATTACCTCCTGTTGTGGATCCTGATCCTTCGATTTCTTGTGATCTGATGGATAGTAGAGATGTTTTTTTAACATTTACTAGAGAAAATAATTATGAATTTTCTTCATTACGTAGAGCAAAATTTTCCACTATGGCTCTGTTATGTGAATTACGCACTCAAGGCCAAGATAATTCTGTGTTTGTATGTAATAAGTGTCATAAATATATTGAAGGAAGATACCATTGTCCTATATGTGATGTAAGTATATTTTTAGTGTTCCCAAGCAATAATAATTTGTATACTCAGTTTCTCTAGTTATGATTTTGATTTAACTCCTCCTTCAAAAAATTCTCATTTTGCATGATATATTTTTATAATGAGAATTTGATCTTACAAGATTTATTGAGTTAACATATTTTAAGAGTACTTTTTATAAAAAATCTTTAGTGGTAGTTAATTCTTAAAAAATACACACATTCAAGATAAGAAATTGATGCTACCCTATGGTCAAGACTTCTGAGGTTAGTTTGACACTGAAAGTACATATTTTCAATACTAAATCCCCAAAATAAAAATTGCATTAATATAAGTGCATAACAGGTTTTCTATACAAATTAGAACAGTTTCAGTTTTTATTTAGCAATAGTTAACAATTAGTTATTAAATAGGAAACTATACTAAACGCGGTTTATTTATTACAAAAATGCATATTTGATTAATAGTGTATAAAATCTACTTCTCTCATAAAAGTGGTAGAAAAGTAGAAAGTCAAAAATATTCTTAATAAGCATATATGTAGATGAGCTCCTTGTACAACTTTTGTGCCTCTGAATTCACAATATATTAGTTTCTTTGTGAAGGGTCTTTCTGTATGCACACATAAATTTTAATTATTATTTTGATTCCAGAAGTGTCCTTAACGCAGTCTTTTAAAACATTTTTAATGCTGCATTATGTTTCATAGTGCTATCAAGTATTTATCTTCTTGTTTTGCCTATGTTACAAGCACAACAACATTACATTGCATTATGCTGGACCCAGAGGTCAGCAGAAACCAATGGCCTAGATCAGGGATCGGCAATCTGTTTGTCCTTAGGGCACAATACTAAATTTGAAAATCACCGAGGGTGCATATTTTACACATAATCAACAGGCATAAATAGGCATTAAAAAAACAGATTTTTTATAACTTTATTTTGTTGGTGTCATACATAATGATACATATAATTCAGTGTGAAACTTGGGTGTCCATATTTTCAGCTAATTTCTTATAATTGGGGATATATTTAGAGTTCCCGGTCCTTAAACAATTATCTAAATGTGAGTCATTAAACTTTGTTCAGTATTTGATATCAAATATTTCATATTTGAGAACAAAGACGCAATTGTATGTTGTTGCACAATATGAATAAATTTTTAGCGAACATTTCTTAAAATAGGATCTTATTTTCATCGACTAACTTCCAAAACTTTTATCATTACTATGCGCTTTTAAAATAATATCACTTTGCAGTTTATTATTCTAATTCTAGGTCTTCGATATTATGAAGCTCGAAAATACACTGAAACTATTTCAAGGACACATCTTCAGTAACATTGAATGTATTTATGAAAAATCTTAGAACGGGTTTCTAATGCTGCAAAAAATCTTCAAATCTAGAAAAAAACTCTTCTATTAGCTTACCTAAATTCTAAATATATGTAGCAAAAATTTTCATATCAATTTAACTCTACGTTTTTTATTGGAAGTGATCTGTTTGCAAGATGGAGTCAACACCTAATTCATGGTGCATTACTCAAATCTGCAGCGAATCGATTTTCCTTGGTCAGCCACCTATCTACCAACCTGCCGAAGAACAGACTTATAGCTGAAAGCCAACGACTTATAGCTGAAAGGAGAGAGGAGAAAATCTGGCAACGAGAAGAAGAAACGTGCTTGATGCGAGAAGAACGGCATGCTCGTGAAAAAAAATTTGAAATTAGTTTGGCTGTATTCCGAGAGTAAAGTTAGCTTTTTTTTTTTTTTTTTTTTTTTTTTTTTTTTGTTAAGAACTGAGAGATGCAATGTATTACTTGTGCGTTTGATGTAAATGTGAATAAAAGCAATACTTTGTGAAAAGTTAATGTGTATTTACAAAATTAAAAATATAGCTCATGTTATTCTTAAACCTGCATAAGTGTCCCAGTTTATTTCCTGCAAATAGAGTTGACTAATAACATTCATAAGTGGATGGAAAACGAACCGACAAAGATGATTGATCAAAGGATCGATTATATGACAGTGGTGGCAGCTGGTCGGATGTATATTTGTCGACTCGGAAAAAGCTCAAGTGAATTCCTTACGAATGCTGCGAAGCTTATTAAGTGGAATAGTTATCTTCTACCAGGTTCTCTCGTTAAGTGATTTATTTATGTTTTTGTGTTTATGAAAAATTTGCTGTTAATGTAAAGGTACACTTGAACAAGTATTTTATAAGACAAAAATTATCAGTGTGATTATCATATGAGACTTGAATTACCTTGCAAGTGCATTTATCTTTTATTATATGAGTGAATGATCATTAATTTAAGTAATGCTTGTGTTTTATTTATGAGATATGATTGCATTAATTTTCAAATGCTTATATATAAACATACATGTTTTTTTTTATTATTTATTGAGTATTTGGATGTTGTGCATATTTAATGCAGATACCATGTGTTTATGATTCAACAGCAAGTTAAGGATTTAACTTAATGTATAATTTTATGTAAGGAAATTTAGTTTTAATTTTCTGTTATTTTAATTAAGTTGAACATAAAGTCGCATAATGTCATTTTTGGCCAAATCTAGAAAGGCTGATCTAGTCGCCCTTGCACAAGAGTTTGGTGTTGAAGTGTTGCCTACATTTAGGATTTTGGACTTGAGGGAAAAGATTCTTGCTAGTGAAAGCTATGAGGAGCAGGTAGCAAAGGATCTTCTGAGTGTTATCATTACAGATAGGGAGGCAAAGGAGGAGAAAGGAAAGGGAAATATAAAAACTAAAGTTAGAGGCAGAGGAGCGGATTGCCATTGAGAAGTATAAGGTAGATTGCCAGGATCGTTACTCGAATAGGAGTACTACACCCGAACGGGGGGAGAGAATGGGAAGGAAAGATCAGTAGAAGAGTTAACGAGGACAATCAGATTATTGACAGTAAAGGTTCCAAGTAAAGCAGATGGCTGGGACTATTTCTTCTCCAGTTTAGAAAGAGCTTATGTCAATGAAAGTGTCCCTGATGAGTATAAGGCCAAAATTTTGATTTACCTTTTGGGAGATAAAGCGGCAAATTTATTAACATTGATAAGCGAGGATAAGTATGGGAATTATGAGGAAATAAAGGAAACTGTGTTGAAAGAATTTAAACCTTCACCTCAGGTATGCCTGGAGAATTTCAGAAAGGCAAGACGAAGTTCAGAAGAGACCTTTGGCCAGTTTTCTACTAGAGTTACTGCCATGTGGGAAAATTATGTGAAATCAAGGGGGGGGGGTGACAGACTTTGAAGGTCTTAATCAGTTGGTGGTAGCGGACAAAATCTACCAGACCCTTGATACGGAAACTGCAGTACACATAGGTATAAGGCAGGGAGACTCGTGGTTCAAGCCAAGAGAGCTTGGAAAGGAGTGTGACATATTCTTTGCGGCTAAAGGGAAGTCCTACAACGTACGTAGGGAAGCTTGTGAAACTAAGATTTTAAATCAGGCAGTAGGGTGAGAAACCTAAGGTCGAAGAAAGACGAGGCAGTCGGCATACGTCAGAAACCATAGGGAAAACCACAGGGAACGTTAAAGGTTTAACATGTTTTGTATGTGGTTCAGCTTCACATTTTAAAAGGCACTGTCCTCAGATTAAAGGTTCTAGGCAGTATAACAGAAATGAGGAAAAGGATAAAGCCAGGGTAAACTGGGTAAAGAAAGATCAGGATAATGATATCCTAGAGGACAAAGTTGTGGTAGCTCGTGTGGATCCTTTGAGGAAGTCAGGGGATGTAAACGACTATAAGCTGTGTGAGTTGAAAAGGGTTCCTATTAGTGTAAATGGAACAATAGGAAAGGCCCTCGTTGATTCAGGAACAGAAATTACGGTGGTTAAGAAAGAGTTAACCAAAAGTCTCCAACTGAAGGAAGGATCGAGTATATATTTGAAAGGTATATTTGGTCCAGCTGTTAAATGCCCTTTGGTAAGCATTCCACTGAGTATTACTGTAGGAGAAAGTGCCAATGTTACACATCAAGAGATTTTGTGTGCAGTTGCAGAATCGCTGGCAGAGGATGTGTTGCTTCCTCCGGAAGTATTCACCATGTTAGGAGGTCGGTTATATGACACAGGTGAAGGGGTGGAAAACTTACCTGAAGAAACCACAAACATCCCAGAGGTTAGCAGAAAGGAAAAGTCTGTGAAGGTAAACACAGGGAAACTAGAAGGAAACGCTAGTATGGGAAGGAATCTCAATGAGAAAGGGAAGGTGGAATCAAGTGAAAGCCAAGAACCTCAGCCAGGAAGACTATGTACAGCGGATGTATTTAGAAGAGAGCAGGAGACTTGTGAATCTCTGGTAGGAGCATGGGAGAATGCTCAGAAAGGAAAGGGGAATTATTATACAGTGGATAACTTTCTCTTTCATAAGGACAAAATTCTTGGGGAAAGTGTGGGGCAATTAGTTGTACCTAAGAGTCGAAGGGAGGAAGTCTTGCAGTTAGCACATTGCTCGGTGTTTAGTGGCCACATGGGGGTAAAGAAAACTGTGGAGAGAATTAGATACTCTTTTTATTGGGAAGGTCTGAGGTTAGACGTTCAGAATTCAGAAATTTTGCGAGGCATGTAAAGAGTGCCAGTTGACTAGACCAATTAAAACTGTTGATAGGACACCAATCACCCCAGTAACGAGGCCAGATCTGCCCTTCCAAATTGTAAACATTGATGTGATAGGTCCGATTGATCCTCCCAGTTCTAAGGGTCATAAGTATATATTATGCTTAGTTGATCAGCATACCAGATGGGCAGAAGCAATACCTCTAACTAGCCTCTCCGCCAAGTCGACTTGTGAGGAGTTATTACATATTTTTTCAAGAACGGGTATTCCAAATGTAATTGCATGTGACAATGGAACAAATTTTAAAGCAGATTTGACTCAAGAATTTGAGAGACGACGAATAGGGGCCAGTCCTAAGTTTTCGACCCCTGGATATCCTCAAGCTAATGGATTAGTTGAACGGTTTAATGGTACTTTAAAAAGA